GTTCATTCTCCTGTCTTTTTGTCAATGCCACTGTCTCCAGACCAGACAACATAACTGGTCTCACCATTGTCTTGTAAACTTTTATTTTGACCATACACCGAGCACTACTGTTTGCTAACACTTAGCATGATAAAAACAGTGAAAAGTCGTGGCATTAGCTTACTTACCACCTTTGTTTGACATCAGGCGACCGTAAACTTTTGTGTGTGTGTGTGTGTGTGTGGGGGGGGGGGGGGGGTCCTCCCCTCCAGTCTGCACTTATTTCTGTTTGTGCTGCATACAGACAGATTGTAGAGACCGCTGTGCTCGGGCTGACAGTTTATTATAAAGCGGGAGATAACTAGATATTTTGTTTGGGCATTTGTGCAGTTGCACTAACTGTGCAGCATAGATTTTCTTGTGCGCAGAGAATGTGCAAGCAGTGCGCGACTGTGCAGGCGCGCAGCTTAGCAGGAACATTGGGTGTAGCCTGTGTAATTGTATGGGACCAGCTGACGGGCAGGGCCATAAAGTGTGTGTGTGTGTTGGGGGGGGGGGGGGGATGGCCCCCTGATCCCCCCTTTTCCGATGCCACTGCATTTGACTAAGTCTACTCAAAACATGTTTTGGTTTTACCTGGAAGCGAGCCTTCAGACAATTCATCACCTACTCGGTGAATGAAGTGACTGATTATCACTGAAGGAAATGATGCGGCCAGACTTTATTTAGAACGTGTTCATAAGAAGAGAAGAGGCAGTGCTGCTTGAAAACACAGGAAAACGTTCAATTTCATGAACAAAATAAGTGCAAATCAGCTGGAATTTAACAGCAACTCATGAAGTTTATCAACACGTGCCAGACTTCCTGTTTGTTCAATGAATTCTATACAGTATGAGAAACGACTGGACAAGTTGCATTTTCTGTGAAAAGTCAGTGTAAAAGCTGAGAGCTGAAGGACTTGAAGTTTGCTGAATAAACCAAAACTGAGCAAAAAGAAGCAAAAATACTGACAAAAAAGGCTATAAAAGAAAACGAGCTAAAATTCTAATCTAATAAAGTACTTTATAAAAGTAACAAAACACCAGCTAAAAGCTATAGTAGGAAAATACTGGCTAAAATAATTTCAAAAAGGGTTGAAAGCTCAACCATCCAGGCAGTTAAATCCCCCAGAAAGGGTTAAATCATGTCATCTGAATAATCAAAATGCTGGCTAAAAGTAGTGAAGCAAAAGGCTAGCTAAAAATACTGGTAGCAAAAGACTAGCTAAAGCTAAATGTAGAAAATACACTGAAGTAGATTTCAAAAAGAGCATTTGAGACGGAATTGAGATCTCAATGTAGAAAATATCGGTAAATATAGTTCAATGTTTTAAAAAGTATAAAATTCATAAATCCAAAAGTTAAAGCATGCACCGTTTTCTAACAGAGCTGAATGTTTAGGCGCACGAAAAGCTAAAAAAGCACAAATATGCAGAAGTAGTTGGAGTCAAAATGACCCAGATTTCAGTCTAGCCCAGATTAACAATTACTTCTGAACAATCTGCAGAGCTACTCATGAACCTGGTCATTTTCTATATATTTTAGAAAGGTTAATTCTAACAATTAAATCAATATTTATTTATATAGCAACAACACCACCAGCCTGATCAAGAAAGCTCATCAGAGACTCTACTTCCTCAGACGGCTGAGGCGAGCTGGTCTGGGAAGCTCAGTCCTCACCTCCTTCTACAGGTGTGCAGTGGAGAGCATCCTGTGCTCGAGCATCAATGTGTGGCATGGAGGCTGCACAGCTGCAGAAAGAAAAGCTTTGCAGAGAGTGGTGAAGGCTGCACAGAAATCTGTTGGAATCAGTCTCCCCACCATCACAGACATCTACACCTCCAGATGCAGGAAGAGGGCCACCTGCATCATGAAGGACCCCACCCACCCAGCACACACACTTTTTGCCCCACTCCCCTCAGGAAGGAGGTTAAGGAGCATTAAGTGTAGAACCACTAGACTGAGGAACAGCTTCTACCCTGAGGCTGTTAAACTCATGAATATCTAACTAGAATAATCACTGTGAAAAACCATATCATGTTGCTGCTGATCTGTTTCATGTTGCTGCTGATCTGTTTCAATGTTGATGTGTTCATGCGTGCACATCTGCTCACAGACTCATGTTCATGTTTGTGGTGATGTCCAATGTTTTATGTTATGAGTGCTTAGTGTATATTTAGTTGATGTTTTTCTTAGTTCATATCTTAGATGTTATTACTGTTTTTCTTAGACATTTTATTGTTGGAAGTAACTGGGACCCTGGGTACATAATTTCGCTCCACCACATGTACCACATGAGGTGCGAATGACAATAAAGAAACTCTGACTCTGACTCTGACTCTGAATATTTAAGTCAAAGAAGTTATCTCATGATGCTTTTTACTGTTTTTGTTTGCTTTCTAGCAGCACTTTGAGCTGAAGGCTTATGTTCCAACTAAAGATCAGAATGACTGCAGCAGGTCGGTGTTGAGCAGACTTCCCACAAATAACCAGAATTAGAAAAAGCAGCTCATGGGTGGATTCGCTGGATTTAAAATTACAAGGTATTCCCTGCTTGGTCAGCACAGCACAGACTTAAAGTGATAATTCAAATCTTTTGCAGTGGAGTATCATTGTAAGGTTGTGAACAATGAACATTACTTGGAATAATAAAAGCTGTATGGGAGCAGCAACCTGTGCTGTGTGCTGAATTCACTGCACAGACCGACGGTCAGGTGTCTATCTGCAATGCAATCCTCTAAGTTTATTCAGAAATAATTAACTTTAACACAGAACATAAACACAACTTAGCAGCCTGTGTGCAGAAACGAGACACCTGGCGTTACCTTAATCACAGCTGAATCACATAAATTACTCACCGGAGACAAAATTAAGAATTCAGTTTGCACAGTCCCACTGTAGCGTCTGAGAACCTACGTATGGTGGCAAAATAAAAATAGTAGCACTATACTCGGAACACAGTCACTGTTAAGACCGTCAGCTGTCGGGATGATGTACAGGAAGAATGTGAGAGTTCTGCAGCACATTGTGTCATATCTGAGGAAAATCTGTGCTTTATTTGACCAGACTTAAATTTAACCAGCAGGCGCTCATTTCACACAGTTCTGCAGGAAATATATTCCTCATTCAGTCATAAACATGAAAGGGGTTACTTTATTTTATCTTTGTGATTGTATCGCACTACCAGACCAAAGGGGTTCCTGAGACCATTCAGTGATCACCGTTAGAATTAAGGCATCAGTATTTAAGCAACACACACTGCTTGAGTGATGTGTTAGCAAAATATCTCAATTGACAGATTTGAATGAAACTTTCAGAAAGAAATCATTTAAAGATCTCCTACACCTGATTAACTTCCAGAATTCCTTCGATTTAAAATGGCTAACATTTGTTGTGGTATAGCTAAGGATCATTCCCAACACATTCTCTGATTGCACAAGATTCATTAGCAAAACATCGCCAACGCCAATTGGATTCAACTGTGCCTGTCTGTTAGCAAAAATCTCATAATTTAGATACTGAGCTAAACTTTGGTGTGGTAGTAGCTGAGAATCGTCTTCAACTTGGTCTCTGAGGTCTAGGGAGTTATCGCAGGATGAGCAGTGGAGCTTCAATGTTTCATATTATTGGATAAAAAAACACAATTTCTCTCCATTCTGGTGGAGGAAAACAAATAATGATCATCCAAACGCAGACTTTTGTTGTTGTTGTTGTTTATAAACCTTACTGCTGGTCAGGTCGTGTATTATTATGAGTATTGGTCTTGGTGACTTGCAGTAAACAGCGCTTCCTGGGTCTGAGCGCATCAGCGCTGCTGAGAAACAGTGATCCACTGCAGCAGGAGGTGCAGCAGGAGGAGGAGGAGAAGGAGGCCTGCGTGGAGCCACACCGCTCATCCTTTAATGATTCCCACCGCTGCTGCTGATGAGACCCGCCATCTGCCCAGAATGCGCCAATTACGAGCAGAGGAGCGACTAACGCAGGACTGCTCAACGCTGCTTCGTATTTAAATGAACCTGATCTCTCCCTCCCTCCCTCCTAGACGTAAGCTGCCCTTTTCCTGCCTTTTTTTTTTTTTTTTTTTTTTTTGTGCGTAATTTTGGACGGGCTGTTGGATGCCTCGTGGATTGTTTTGGCAGGACGCAGGGCTGTCCCTCCTCCCTGGACCAGGACCAGTTGTTCTCAGCAGCGCACACGGAAGCGCGCTCCGGACTTGTTTGTATGCAGCGATGCTGTAAACAAAGCACGAGCTGTTTAAATGAAATCAGCGTCGCTGCTGCTGCTGCTGCTGCATCCTGGTTGAAGGCAAGTGTTTTCCTCTCCATTCAGCTCGAGCTTTTTTATTTTTATTTTTTACTTTATTTTATTTTATTTTCCCTAGAATGGTGCAGTGCAACGCGTGCACATGCAGCTCTTACCACAAATGGGCAAGGACACTTGAAAACACGACGTGGAGATTTGCATGATTTTTGCATCTCTGTCTGTGTGTTTGTGTTTCATTGGACTTTTTGCATGGCACAGTGAGACTGAGTGTGTCAGGGAGATGAAGAAATGGCGAGGGAATGAGGGGGAGTTATAGGAAAATGGGCAGAGCAAGAAAATCAATGGTGTGTCTTCTAGGAGTGTGAATATAGGCTACACATGGGTTAACACACGTGTGTTTTAAAGCCAAGCTGCAGGGAAAAGTTGCATTCATGTAAGGAAGAGAAGTGATGTATATTTATTAACCAAGTCAATGTGTTTCATTTGTGTAACATAATTTATCAGCTGGCAAATTTGTTTTTGCTTTTACCTACAGCAAAAATGTGTTATTGTCTTATGTCTGTTTGATCACCATGAATGCATTAATCATCAAGTTTTTTTTTTTAATAGTCTTTTTGTTGTGGCGTCATTTGGGTGTTAAAAAGACTTTATCTAAAAACGATATTTCTGCTGTTTTTCAGCCTCCGGTCAACAATGTACCTGGGAATTCCTTATCTGCCTCTCCATGCTTTTTTCCAATGATGGGATCATAAGACACCTCTCTTGGATTCAGCACAACTTTCAGCATGTTGCAGCCTTCCTCCAGAACAGGTGATTGCCCGTTGGAAACGTTACCTCACAGGAATAGGTTTCAGAGATGGATTATATTCTTTTCCCTCTGCGTGGCTGCTCTCTGGCCTCCAGAGGCGGCAGGATCCATGCTGAACTGCCATAAGACGTGCATCTGCGCCTCAAACATAGTCAGCTGCTCCAAGATGAACCTGACCAGCGTCCCCATCGGTCTGCCGCACTACACAGCTGTGCTGGATCTCAGCTACAATGAAATACATGTGCTCAAGTCAGAATGGACCCCAGCCAAGCTTCCGAACCTCCACAACCTCCTGCTCAGCCATAATAATCTGCATTTCCTTTCTTCGGAGGCGTTCGTAAATGTGAAGCACCTGCGCTACTTGGACCTGTCATCCAACACGCTGAAGATGCTGGACGAGTTTGTTTTTGAGCCTCTGGTCAACTTGGAGGTCCTCCTGTTGTACAATAACCAAATTTCGCAGATCGACCGCTCAGCCTTTATTACCATGACCAACCTTCAGAAGCTCTACCTGAGCCAGAACCAAATGTCCCGGTTTCCTGTGGAGCTGATCAGAGAACGGTTCCGCCAGGAGAAGCTCAGCCTCCTGGATGTGTCCTCTAATAAAATCAAGGTGTTGCCCATGGATGAGCTTCAGAAGCTGCCCGCCTGGCTCCGAAATGGCCTCTACTTTCACAACAACCCTTTGCTGTGTCACTGTGATCTGTACACCCTCCTTGCCCACTGGGAAATTCGAAAGCTGAACCCTGTTGTGGACTTTAAAAATGACCACACTTGCATTCTGCCTGGTCCACAAAAAACCCAAGTTGGTGTTTTTAACCTCAGTGGAGAAAGTATGAACTGCAGCACATTCAAAGAGTCGGACGAAGAGGCATTTCTGGAGCAAACAATAGTCCTTAACTGTGACGCCAAAGACAGAAACATGGTAAAGACTTGGACAATGCCTGATGACGTGTTGGTGACGCCTGAAAGCAACCAGACAGCAAGGGTTCTGTTAGATGGGAGCCTGCAGATAAGTCAGGTGAGGACCGAGGACTCTGGGACTTACACCTGCTTTGCCACAAGTGAGGCCTTCAATGAGACCATCTATGTGGTGCTGAAAGTTCACAACTTCACCATGCATGGCGCTGGGGAGACGTTGAACACAGCTTACACAACATTGGTTGGCTGCCTGGCCAGTGTGGTGCTGGTACTCATGTACCTATACCTGACACCATGCCGCTGTTTCTGCTGCCCCAACAAGGGTAAGACTCGGGGCGAGGATAGCATTCACTCCTCTATGCTCAGCGTCACTCCAACCCATGAGGACCCGGCACTTAAGGCCGAGCTGAACCGGCACGTGGCATTCATAGACTCTAAAGACTCACAGGGCCAGAATGGGAAGCTGAATCCCAACGGGGATGAGGACGATGACGATCAGGATGCGGAAGCTGGCTCTTTAATGAAGGGGAAGAGAAAGAAATCAGTAGCAGAGTCCATTAGCTCAGTCTTCTCAGACACGCCAATGGTGGTTTAAGACGAGAAATCAAATGCCACGGGATTTGCTGTGAATGAACCGACATGAACCATTATTTAATTCCTGTAAACTCTTGACTGTGACCCCAAGGGATCAGCGGAGGGGCGTTCATCTGTAGTTTCTAGCAGCTGGAACACAGTGTCTCAAAGGGATTTCAAAACAAACTGTTTTGTTGTTTAAAAAAAAAAAAGGACAACGAGCAGTATGTTTCCAGCCTTTTTAATTTGTAGCAATTACTATTCATACTGTGAAGGAATGGCAGTGGAAATGGGCAAAGAATCCTAAGAGAAAGAAATGGTAGTTGTTAGAGGTGCTCGGGAAGTGATGCACAATAGTTTGAGAAGTGAAAAATAATAGTGCACATCTAAAATTTAATAAAGACAACCATTTGGTTTAGATTGAAACCTTGTCTGTTAAAAGATTTGAATAGGTTGCATCCTATATACTGTAGAGCATAGACAACCTCCTGTATCCCCACAAGAACAGATTGACATCACCAGACTATGACTATTCTCCTTGAGTTATATAGAGTAAAACAGCATGCCATAAAAATACATTATATGAGCAAATATAATTTAGGTTAAGGAAATATGAAATTATCTTATGTAATCATATAAAGAAGCTAACACAAGTCAGATAATTAGTTAATAAAGTCAGATCTAGTTTTGAAGCCATGGGCAGCCACAGCTCCTATCGATTTAATACTTTAAGGAATACATTTACATACGGTAGATCTAAACGTAAAACCTATTGGAAACCTTTTCAGCTTTGCACAACTAAACGTGTGAAATGTCTCCAACAGATGCCCGTAAGGTGCGAGGAGGAATTTAGTTTTGACTAATTATCAACATGTCTCAATCTTGTAAACTGATCGGTACCAGAATCCTTACGAGGACTAAATCGGAGCCTGGCTGTTGTCCACAGAGGTGCCACTTGCTGTTAGATTTGCCTCTTGTCCTAGTTATAACATCCTTTTGTGTCACCAAGGTGTTAAACTAAAAATGTGTGCTTTATTTGATTTATTCTGCATGAAAAATGCACAGATTCCTCATGTGCTCCCCCCCCCCCCCCACAGTTTCAAGTAACCAACTTGTATTCAGACATCATACATAGAAGTAAATTTAAGATCCTGCTCACTATAGTTCACCGTGTGGCCCTTTCCCCTTTTTACCATTAGAAGATAATGCATTCTGTTTTAGCAGGGAAACATTAGAGTCTGAGTGACCATAAAACCATAATGGTTTCTTGTTGAAATAAGCTTATGAATAATAATAACACTGTCCATTACTGGTGAGAAAGAGCTGCCTTGAGCACTGTAGCTGCTGACGAGAAATTTCCACTGACACTTTAGATTTTTGAAGTGATTCTCTTTGTCTCAGCGTAGATCATTACTGTAGAATCAATTTACCATGCAAGACGCCTGGTATGCTGTGCAGATTTTATTCACAAACAAGGAGCGCCTTGGCTTGAGCCTGAAAAGGCGATTTTATCAAACTGTGCCGCGATCGTGTCGCAATACAACAAGGCTGCCCTGACGTAAATGCTAATTGCACCTTTTGATAGGAAGTAGCTTTCCTTTGCTTTCTCTCCGAGCTGGAGGGGATTGATGTATTATCGTGAGTCACGGCGACACAAAGGCATTTTCTACTGACAGCCCCAGTTCAGGCCAGATGTGCTTGTTTGTGTTTCTCTGTCATCATGAAGCTGGCCTTTCTTGAGTTCAAAAGCAATCGTTCAACCAGGCGATGAATGCGATGCCCTTTAAGTAATCAAGCTTTTATTGAGTATTTGAAACTCTGTCCGAGTCCTATGATTGGGAAAGTGCTCTATGAATTCGTCATGCCTTTTGAGTTCCTGCTCGTAAGTTTTTGAGACGAGCATAATTAGATCAAAGCCAAAATCTTGCAGCTAAAATTCAATGTACACATTTCTAGGTGCAATGTTTTTACGCAAAAACCGGTGGAATATTCACAGTTGCTGTGCGCACCGCAGCATCTCCTGTGTGGGTGAGAAAAGGAAGTCACACTTGTCAGAGAGGTGGTGTGTGTGAATCATTTCACTCTGTCACACACTGAAATACCAGGTGGAGAAATAAAGACGGCAGCAAAAATACTGAGATGCATTTGGATAGCGCCACATTTAGCTCCAGCTTAGATGGATTGTATTTATCTGAGCGGACATACTTGTTCAGTTTCCTCATCACGTTCCAAAGGCGAGATCAGATCACAAACAGATTTTGTGGCTTTTGCGTAGCACAGTGACGTACCCTGATCGTTGTGGATCGTTGTGTGTTTTCCTACAGAAACACGGTGTTGATCCAATAAAACCTGTTGTGGCTGATTAGTGTTCCACTCCTGTGTGTTGTCACTCACGATACATGTTGTACTTCTGTATAGTGATAATCCAAGTTCTCCTGCAGAGGTCCTAACATGGAGGAAAACTGACTTTGTTTTCTCCAAAGCAAATCTGCCTTCCTGTATATTTATATAAACAATATATATATAACTATATACATGTATTGATGCTCACTTTTTGTGTCTAGTATTAATGAGTTTTATCAGTGTACTGACTGTATTTTTATGTATATTGCTGTTCATTTTGCATTTCATCTGCCACTACACTGTTAGTTGTTCCAACATTCAAGTCTTACTATTAATGTTTCTTTTTTTTTTTTTTTTATTGAAATGGAGTTAATCTTACACCAGACTGATAAAACAAATATTAAAGAGAGAATCTGTTTGAATGTTTTAGAAAACTGCATGGAAAGAGCGCCAGTTTTCGAAATAACTGGGGATGATGCTGCATCCTGATGGGCAGTGAGTATTGTATGTAGCCACTAGATAATATGCTGGGTCAGTATTTAACTTTTCATCAAAAGCCATGAGGGGAAAAAAAGAAAAAAAAAGAAACACAGTGCTTTAATAAACTAATGTTAGCTGATGTGTGAAGCTGCGGGGACTGAGGGAATTGTACGTTTCTCCCAGTAAATTCAATAAACGTGAAAGGGTTCGTATGGCTTTATTAGACAGAGATATAGATTTTCTCAGGATTATGATAGTTTCACCATAAAATGATGTTAACTTGATTATTTTATTATGATTATTATTATTTTATACATCTTCACAGTTGCAGAATCACATTTAAAGATCTGGTTATTTGCTCCACACAGCGGTGATGCATTTATTCAGATCTACCAAAAAACAACATTCATTTAGCAGCAAAGGAGCAATTAAGGAAAGAACCATGAGGCTAAAAGCTGTCTGTTTTAGCAGAGTGATGTCCACAGGGTAAGAAGGAAGCTTTAAACAGAAATGAAAGCACTGTGTTTATTGACCATAACTTCAACGATAAGACGGTTGCTGCCATTAAAAACGTAAAAACCTGGTAGTTAAAGAATAATGGCTTTGCATGGTATGCTTACAGTATAGATGCAAACCAATAGGCATTAAAAGAAAAACATCCTATTATTTTACCTAATAAAAGCTAAAGGATTACCCTTGTCTTGTTTTATTTTATTATTATTACCTTCTTTAACTCAGTACAAACCTTTAAAGTACTAATTTACTTCAGCTGCCATGCTCCAACTGATACAGAGAAATGTTCAACTTGATTTAACTTTTTTTTTCTTTTACAGAGAACAAAGCTACAGAGAAAAAAGAATGTTAAACTTTTTACAAGTTTTATTAATAAGACTTTCAACATTACAGTTTAATTTGATTTCTCACCAGCTAAGTTGTTTTAGTAGGTTATGTTTGTTTATTCAAGTGGCTGAAAGTCACCTTTTTTTTTTTATCATGGAGCACCATCTTGTGGTAAAATGTAGTTTGGCATTATCTAAGATACACCCTGACAGCTCTACCCGTTAGTAGTGTTACAAATTATTTTACCACAATTTGCACAATAATGTAAGAGAGGGAAAAGTATGTAATATAGTGCTTGTGACAATAATAAATGAAACGCTAATGATGCAATGCATATAATACTGCAAGTATTCCAGATGGAAATGGTTTTCTTCCTGTACATCGCAATAACATAAGTTACTGTTAAAGTAAAATAAATGTGTACACAAAAATATTTAGATTTTCTGAACATTTGCTCCAGTTTGGTGTAAGACATTTAAAAATTATATAGATGATCTTAATATCAGTCCAGTTTTAAAGTCTTTGAATTCTTCATAACTACCAGTAAATGGCAGAAAATTAAACCAATGAAAAAGTCAAAGACGTTCAGTATTCCCAGTATCTAACATGGTTGAGTCAGGTCCTCTGGACGGATTCTTCTTTATTGAAACGTTTCGTCTTTCAGCCCCCGGCACAAACAGTAATACTGTGCATGCTGTTCAGTGTCAGGAGGGCTGTGATCAGTCTTACATTGGGAAACTAAACAGCCACTGGCCAAAAGGATGGCCTAGCACAGAAGATCAACGTCATCAAGCCAGGACTCTGCGGTCTACACTCATCTCCAGGCCAGCGGTCACTCGTTCAGGGATGAAGATGTTCACATCCTGGACAGAGAGGAACAATGGTTTAAGAGAGGAGTGAAGGAAGCCATCTTTGTGAAGAGAACCTGTCCATCATTAAACAGGGGTGGAGGCATCCGTGTTCAACTGTCATGCTCGCCTCCCTTCTGAACCTCCATTCTGTGTCCATTTCTCCTTCCTGTCCTCTCAAACCCCAGCCTGTCAAAGCAGATAACCGCTTTTCCTGAACCTGGTTCTGCTGGAGGTTCTTCCTGTTGAAAGTGACTTTTTCCTTTCCACTGTTGCCTATGTGCTTGCTCAGGATGGGAAATTGTGACAAAATGATTCAATGCAATCTGCTGGCTTCCCTAGATGGAGAACGTCCATCCATTATCTTTTACCCACTTCTTCCATTTTGGGTCACGGGGGTCACCGGTGCCCATGTCCGGCAATCACTGTGCGAGATGGATAACTTTACTAATTGAATTTTTTATGTATGTGAATGTTTCTGTTCAGTGCCCTGAGACAACTTCTGTTTGACTTGGCACTATATAAATAAATTGAACTGTCCTCTCTTAGAATGCTGGTGTTGCTAGTATCACTCAACCCTCTGTGAATAGCAAATGGCCATCAGAGCACTAACGATCAGGCAAATGATCCTCCTTTTACATGTGACAAGCTAGTTCTGGATGTCGCCAGCAAACTGGTTGATCTACGTGCTGTTTATAATACTGAGTTTGTTGCAGCTCCTCAGACCGAAGAAGTATTTTGGCCAAAAGACGAAACGTTTCAACACAGAAGAATCTGTTCAGTGGACCTGACCTTGTTAGATTCCTCTGGATTATGAGCATAAACTTGATGGTATTACTAATACTTTCCATCCCTCTTTACTGAACCATTTCTGGTTCATCCCTACATGTTTGTGACACTGCTGTGAGCTGAAAACATCTGGTTTCCAGTTGTCCCAAATTATGCAATAAACTTCAACCTATGAGCCAGTGGATCTAAAGGTGGTACAGCAGTATTAGCAGATGTTTATTGAAGGTATGTTATGAGACCATATGTTTTCTTGAAAGTTGATTCATTTTCTGCAGCCAGCACCTCATGATTAAAACTACAACAGTGCTGTTTTGAAGCTCCTGTCTTTAAATCTACATTAAGAAATAAGGAACTTTACTGCTGGTTTTGAGTATTTTAATTGTGCCATTGAAATCTGAGTCTACAATTGGATTTCAAAACGTTTGTATATACTAAGTTTTTTTTTTTTAACCCTTTTGTTTAAAAAGGAAAAATCCATCCATCTATTATCTTTACCCACTTCTTCCTTTTTGGGTTGCAGGGGTCTTTGGTGCCCATGACCAGCAGTCACTGTGTGAGAGGTGGGGGACACCCTGGACAGGTCTCCAGTCCATCACAGGGACACATAGAAACAAACGAGACAAACAACCATTCACTCACTCACTCACACCTATAGGGACAATGGACAATCGGCTAACATGCATGTTTTTGGTCAGTGGGAGGAACGCGGAGTACCTGGGGAAAACCCACGATGCACGGAGAGAACATGCAAACTCCACCCAGAAAACACCAACGTTTATGCTCAATAATCCAGGTCAAAATCCAACAATGTTCAGTCAGGTCATCTGGACAGTTTTCTTTTTTTGCTGAGACGTTTCGTCCTTCATCTAAAGGACTTCTTCAATCTGAGGAGCCACCAAACAAACCGATTCCCACAAACGGCATACTCCATAGTGGGAACAAAACAGTTTGCTGGTGCTAAGATGGCCTCCAGGGCCTGCCCTCTCCCCCGTCAACTCCTCTGAGACAATCATGCCAAAATGGTTCAAAACACCAAGATTCACCCAGAGAGGCCCCCGGCCGGGATTTGAACCGAGGCGACCTGCTCACTGAGAAGCAGCAGCTCTACCAACTGTGCCACCACGCTGCCCAAAGGAGATATCCACCATGGTTATATAGAAATAATTCGACTGAATGAAAATCAGTTTGAATTTTGATTCCCCAGAATAAACCAGTAAAGAAGCTGCCCTTAATGAAAAAAGATGGTACCCTTAATTTATTTTTGTTGTTGTTGCACAAGCTTCTGAGGCAATCAAGCAATTTCTGACTCTGAGACTTGTGCACCTGTCCAGGGTATTTTGGCTCACTCCTAATGAGCAAACAGTCTCAGGTTTGAAAAGCTCCTTCACCAGATTGAGCATCAGGATATTCACCAGATTAGATCAGTAAGATTTAGATCAGGTTTAGGAAGGCCACTAAAGATTAGGCCAATGCTTGTTCTGAGTCACTCTTAGGCGTTTTTAACAGTGTTTTGGGTCTGTATCCTGGTAAAGAACCCATGACCTGCAAGTGAGAACAAGCTTTCCTTGATAGTCTTGAGATTTCCTTGTACCAACCCTGGTTTTCTTATTAAAGGGCAACGCCAATTTCAAATGCATAGTTCAGGTCTACTTGGCGCATTAAGGACAGCACATGCATGCATTGTGGAAAATTAGTTTAGCCTATTTTATAAATACAAATTTAAGAACTTTTCTTTCACTTTGACTTTCTGTTGGGAAGTTATTTGCACGTGTTTGTGACCGTTGCTTGAACCCTCCCAGCACGAGGACAAGGAGGCTCTTTAGTTTCGGTTTCAGAGTTAAAAAAGAAAAACAAACAGGACAAAAGTTGTCTAAAGCTGTAAAACCGAGGCATCGTTGAACTGAACAAGTTGTAGTTTCTATGGTAGGTACAGAAAGTTTAAAGTCTGCTGCCATGTCTGATCTTTCACACAACCTTGTTAAACTGAACTTTACTTATGAAGGTCAGGAAGTTGGGATGTGTGAAGATGTTTTCAATAAGCAGAGTGGCATGACTGATTATAAAATACATTCTAAAACTTTCTGTACAACAAGTATAATAAAAAATCTTTAGTTTATCTGCGTTTCAAACAAAACCTGCACAGCCATTAAAAAAGAAGTTTGAGTAAATAGTTTTAAAGATTTGAAATGTGTGCACCTTTTAGGAAATAAACCAAGAATCCAGTTTTATTTCAGAGATTTTTAACACCAACACAGTGGAAGAGCATGAACTATATAAATAGGGGTGATATAATGGCAGAAATAAAGAAAAACAACCTGCAGTACAAAGTGTTAGGGTGAAAGAGGATTTTATCTAAATAACTTCCTGTGAATAATGTCTCCTAGAACCAAAATCAGTTAGAAGCTAAACTGAAACAGAAGACACACAATAGTTCAAATAAGAAATAACTCAGTAAAAAAGAAAAAAACATGCACCAAACTTTTTTTTAAATAATACATTTTTGAAAGTGCATCAGCAGTTTAAAGGAGACAAACGGTTTCAAATAAAACATGTAATAGAGTTAATATACTCTAAATAAACAGATGAGAAACAGGATTTAACTAAACATTAGGATGTTAATTTAAAGTCTGAATCTCACTGAAACTTAAACCGCTGAGATGAAACTTTTCACAGTAAAATTAAAATGAAATTACTTATAATCTCATATTGATAGCTGAATTTTTAAACGATACTGTTTTGCCGACCACAAACACATTCAAGTATTTTAATGAATTGTTTTTACTCATAATAGCCTTGAGGTTTATAAAGGCTACTGATGACAAAAATATCCACCATGACAATGGAAAAACAGATAAGGAACTAGTAAAGTAGGATTTTTGATTTTGTATTTGTCTTCTCAGGACGTCTTTCAAAAATAAAAACTAATTATTGAACATGTTCAAGAGGCACTCCTTTCAATAAGCTCAACTAAATGTTAGAATGAAAGAATGGACCTGCATTTCATAAATTTATATCTGGAAAACTGCTGGAGTAAACTCAAAATGAACCATTTTATGAATTTCAGGTGAACCTTTCCTTTAAATTCATGCTTTGCAATGAGTAGCTTTAATGTCTGCCTAAATAAAGTTTTAGTACTTTCTGAAATGAATTTGAAATATTTAGTCAAGATAGAAAAAAAAACAATCAGCTCTGCCAAACAGTGCAATCACTTTTACACGTTAGAGACGGTTTGGAAATGGATGCTGGCAGTTATGATGGTGTAACTCCTTCCTCTACGATGCCCGGTTGGGTGGTTGATCTGTGGAAAGGGGTTTCCTTGTAAATAAACCAGCAGTTGCCTCCCCACAGGATGAGATTAAGGAAACCAAATATCTGTGGGGAAATTAAAAAAAGACTAAGTAAATATAGAAAGCCAGAGTTATATACTCAGGTCTTGTTGAAAATAACACGTAATTTGTATTAAAACTCACCACAGAGGCGTTTAATCGGCCCATAAGAGGTGTGGCTCCTGAGCTGCAGTTGTTGACACCATTTTTGCAAACGTCAATCCCTTGAATGATGTTTGAAGGGCTGGTGGACCATTTGACATCGGTCAAACCTTTGGCCCAGGCAGACGATGCTGTCAGCCAGAGGAAGGCAAAGGCGGCACTCACCAACAGATCCTTAGAAAGCAGCAAAGAAGCATTCTTAGTGTAAAACTAAACTTTGGAGCCATGCGAACATTAGTGGGACTGTTTTCTTGTACCGTAAGATGTCAATGTGTCTAAAAACAATATTCATAAACCTTTACATTGTTGTCATTTTAATATTTCATGGTTATTTCTGTCAAGTTATTGGTATTTATAACCACAGATGGCAGCTAAGTGTAGCCCTGGAGCCTGGTGTCTTTCCAGCAAGAGTATCATCTTGGTGTTATTTCTGATCAGGACATGTCTTTTATCCCCCACATTAAAAACATTACTAGAACCACCTTCTTCCACCTGCGTAATATTACGAAAATTAGAAACATCTTATCTAAAAATCTAAAAAAGTTAAATCTGGTCCTCTGGTGAATATCCAGAGGACCAGATTTAACTTTTTTTTTTAGATTTTTCTACCTGGATTATTGAGCATGCATCAGGATACTTATCTAAAAATGATGCAGGTAAACTGGTTCATGCATTTATCACGTCTAGACTGGACTATTGCAATGGTTTATTATCTGGGCGTCCAAATACTTCTTTAAAACGTCTTCAGTTGATCCAAAATACTGCTGCCAGAGTCTTAATTGGAGTTAGTAGGAGAGATCATATCTCTCCAGTTTTAGCTTCTCTCCACTGGCTCCCTGTCAAATTCAGAAGTAAATTCAAAATCTTACTTCTAACCTACAAAGCCCTCAACAACCTAGCTCCATCATATATTCGAGATCTTATTGTTCCATATTTTCCTAACAGAGCACTTCGCTCTCAGACTGCAGGTTTACTCGTGGTTCCTAGAGTTTCCAAGAGCAGAATGGGATGAAATTCTTTCAGTTATCAGGCTCCTCTCTTGTGGAACCAACTTCCAGTTTCTGTCTGTGAGGCTGACACATTGTTCAGTTTTAAGACTGGGCTTAAGACTTTCCATTTTGATAAATCCTATAGTTAGGATTAACTTGTTATGCTGCTATAGGCTTAAACTACTGGAGGATAAATTGACCTAATTTCCTTAAATGAACTGTTAAAATTGAATAGTTTTCATTTGATATTATTTCTACCTTAACATGATTTTTTTACCTGCCATTGTGTATCTGTTCCTACCAAACCCAGCCGGTTGAAGCAGATGGACACTTGTCCTGAGCTGGTTCTGCTAAAGGTTTCTTCCTCACGAGGGAGTTTTTCCTTTCCACAGTCGCCTTCATGCTTGTTCAAGATGAGAGTTCTGTGATGGAGTTAAATTCAAAGCAGTCTGCTCCTCAGATAAATAATGTTAAATTATTATTTTTATATATGAATGTTTCTGTTCAGTGCCCAGAGATGACCTCGGTTGTGACTTGGTGCTGTATAAATAAACTGAATTGAACAGAATTTAAAGAGAAGCTTCCAAACTTCAGGTGCATTTCCACTTTTTACTGAGCTGCGGCAGTGTTACTGGTGTGCCCTAAGTGGGGAACAGAGAACGTGCGATTCATTGAGTTAATTTTTTTTACATGTTACTTTTTCAGTAATCAATTAATCGTAGTTGAGACATATTAGTCCCAGTTCTAAATATTTTTCATAAACTTAACTTCAAAAGATCAGAACTATCTATTATCTTAACATATATGTAAACATATTTTTAGTCAAGATTTGAAGGCAAAGACAGAAAACAAGATACAACAAACTAAAATAAATGGGGCTATGATCAAACTTTAATGTGCCGTTGCTTTTATTTATTGTGAATGCAAAGACTTGAATTCAACTTGAAAAATGTCTTTGGATAAAAAATAAAAAAAAAGCTTTGGTCATGTTTTCTCAGGTCCATCCAGCTTCTTCATTTTATTTTATTTTTCAGTTCTTTAACCTTTAAATATACAGGTAGTCTCACTGAGTCACGAGGACTCATTTTCAGTAGAGACCTGTTTGGGAGCAGATGGTGGGGGTTAAGGGCCTTGCTCAAGGGCCCAGACTGGAGCAAATGAGGGTGGAGACAGGTGTGGGTGTTTCACCTTTTCCAACCACATTTTGATGTTGACGGTACAGGGAGTCGAACCGGCGGCCTTCCGATCACAGGCTCACCTTCTCTAGCCTCTGCACCACCACCTGCTCACTTGATGACGTAGAAAGCATGCCTAATGTTTATACATTATCATAATTCAACTGTGGATTTGAAATTCCTATCCCCCCCCCCCCCCCCAGACATCATATGGAATTATTTAAAGACGAATGAGTGCAGGATGTAATTATAATTTAACCACAACAATTAAAATGAAATGGAAACATGTTTAATGTTAATCATGTAGGATTAAATCCACATAGCTTGCCTGATGCTGTGTTTTCAGTAAGCAACAGATTCCTTTTGTTGTGACCCAACTTCACCCCGGTCACATGAACCACCCACTCATGGCAACACAATAATATTTTCTTTTACAACAGTGTCACTGACAAAGAGACTAAACATATATGTAACTGGAGAACAGCTCGCTTTATGTCCTTCACATGTTTGGGGAAAACTCATACTCTTCCCAGTAATTCACTCACACAGCTCTGTTCTGACCTCAAGTTAGACGCCAACAAACACTGAATCCTCTGAAAGTGGAGCGCTGACATCTGGCGTAAGCGTTCCGTCAAAAAATGAGTGAATACAAGATCAGGAAAATGTCATCCTCTAGTCAACATTGAACAAACTTCATGGAAACTTGCAGAAAGTAATCACTGGATAATGATCTACAACTGATTAAGTTTGGGTACAAACCAGATTCAAGATGGCTGCCTCACTAGCTGACCTTGCAAAACACAACAAATGGCTACAAGTCATTCATTCTTATAGATATTGAGCTAATAGTTAGCATGGTGGTAGCCCAGACTGATCCCAGCACATTTTCTGAGCACTAACAGATTGAGCAAGAGCTTTAAATTTTTCTCATTGACTATTTAGAGCCAACACTTTGTTAGCAAAATATCTCATGAACAATTGAACTGATTTGAGCAAAACCTTTAAGTTCTAATTATTAAATGCACACAGTTGATTTCAGATGGCAGCCACAGGTAAATTCAATTTAATTCAGTTTATTTATACAGCGCCAAGTCACAACAGAGGTCATCTCTGGGCACTGAACAAAAACATTCATATATAAAAATAATAATTTAACATTATTTATCTGAAGAGCAGACTGTTTGAATTTAACTCCATCACAGAGCTCTCATCTTGAACAAGCATGAAGGTGACAGTGGAAAGGAAAAACTCCCATCATGAGGAAGAAACCTTTAGCAGAACCAGACTCAGGACAAGCGGCCATCTTCTTCGACCAGCTGGGTTTGGTAAGAACAGATACACAATGGCAGGTCAAGAATTATGTTAAGATAGAAATAGTATCAAATGAAAATTATTCAATTTTAACAATTAATTTAAGGAAATGAGTTTAATTTGTCCTCTAGTAGTCTAAGCCTATAGCAGCATAAAGCCAACCCCAACTATAGGATTTATCAAAATGGAAAGTCTTAAGCCCAGTCTTAAAACTGGACAATGTGTCAGCCTCACGGACAGAAACTGGAAGTTGTTTCCACAAGAGAGGACCTGATAACTGAAAGATCTTCCTCTCATTCTGCCTTTGGAAACTCTAGGAACCACGAGTAAACCTGCAGACTGAGAGCGAAGTGCTCTGTTTGGAAAATATGGAGCAATAAGATCTGTAATATAAGATGGAGCTAGGTTGTGGAGAGCTTTGTAGGTTAGAAGTAAGATTTTGAATTCTATTCTGGATTTGACAGGGAGCCAGTGGAGAGAAGCTAAAACTGGAGAGATCTGATCGCTCCCACTAACTCCAGTTAAGACTCTGGCAGCAGCATTTTGGATCAACTGAAGATGTTTTAAAGAAGTATTTGGACACCCAGATAATAAACCATTGCAATAGTCCAGTCTAGACGTGACAAATGCATGGATAATTTTTTCTGCATCATTTTTAGATAAGATGTTTCTAATTTTAGTGATATTACGCAGGTGGAAGAAGACAGTTCTAGCAAAGTTTTTAATGTGGGGGATAAAAGACATGTCCTGATCAAAAAAACAACACCAAGATTTTTAACATTAGAGCTGGAGGACAGATTAATGCCATCTAAGGAGGGAGAAAGACTGAGAAATTAATTCCTAAGATGCTCAGGTCCAAAAACCTCAGTCTTGTCTGTGTTCAAATGCAGAAAGTTTAGGGTCATCCATGTAAACAATCTTCTTAAGCACAAAAATGGCTACATCTTGGTCATTTTTACAGATACTGACCGGGTCATCATTGTGAATGAGAACTGGTCCTCAGCAGGGAAATTAAAAGTAATAATACGGAGCTAAAATTTGATTTGATAGTAGCTATGAGTCATCCACTAAACATTATCCGAGACGTCTCACAATATTGTAAAAACATGTTTTTTTTAAGGTTTGACCAAAATGGCTACGACACCATCCCTTTTCATCAGAAGATGATCAACGTACCAGATTGGGACCACGACTGGACTCTTGGTACAGGTGCTGATAGCCCAAATAGATGACCAACGTGGCAGTGCTGTAGAGGAACGCCAACACTCCGATACACACGTAAAACTGCGCGGAGGACGAATAGTCTCCAGTCAAGAGGTAATCAGTGGTGGTAGTTTGGTTGATAAGGCATTTGGGGACCTTGTATGGATGATCCATCAACCTGTGTACGATCAGAGAACAACTCCCAGAGATCTGCTATAGGAAAAAGGTAGGCGACCATGTGCGTTTTGCTTAAATGTACCTGAAGGGGTAGTTAAAATGTGCCTGTATTTCTTCATTTTTACTTCCCTGGCAGGCGACGTTGATGCTGCTCGAGCCGCTGTAGCCTCCAGTTGTTGCAAAGGCGAATATGGAAAACAGCTGTAACCAGAAGAGCGATACGAGAGGTGACGGTTCGACTAACGGATGTTAAGGAGTGCTGATCAAACACATTTTGCACACACACACTCACACACACACACACACACACACTTCCTGGATGATCTTGTGAAAGTGACAGGAAGTCTTACAGAATTTCAACACTGTGCAGATCAAACCGAGTGGCTCATAAAGTTTAAACTAAACACGAGGTTTAAATATGGTGATCACACAATTGCATTTTATTTATAAGACGTCAAACGTGCATATTCCATGCATGACATGCGTCTGCAGCCTTGTCTAGGCGTGGTGGTGATGGGAGCAGGAGGGGAGGGGGTCACAAGACCAGCAGCTTTATCAGTTTCACACATTTCAGCTCCTGTTTGTAAAAACACGCGCATTCACAGAGAGACACTACAGGTCCTGTAAAGCTCACCCATTCTAGCAAACGGATGAACGCCAAAGGTTCCTTCAAGGGGCCAAAGTCAATTCTGAGTCCGGAGGTCAGCACTTTCTGATGAAAAACAGAAGCAAAAGCGAGAAACGAGCCCCTCCATTTATGACCGTTTTAAGACAGTTACGAGTGGTTCATGTCGGCGCCGTTACCTGGGCGACGGAATCCATCGTGTCTTCACAGATATAAAGTGAGCACGACGGTCTCTCCTTCTGCTTTTGCGGCTGTTTCGAGGCTCCTGGGTCGGCTCAAACTTTTCTACAACTCTGGCGAATCGCAGCGACTGACACGTGACCACGACGCGGAGGGGGGAAGGGGCGCCGCGAGGAATGGGAGTCTTTTTTTTTTTGCGGCTTGTGCAAAGTGGCAGGGCCGGCCCAAAGCTGCATGAGGCCCGGAGAACATTTTCATTAGGGGGCACCCCAACCATAGATATAATGCACGCCTCATTGAGCGCTGACTCGTACGTCAACGTCGCCGCCATATTGGATGTGGCAAAAGTGAAGCGATAGGAGAGATGCCGCTTAAGTTTTAAGCGACACGGTCAGGAATTATAAGGTCATAATGCACTTTCAATTTTCCAATCTTATTTTATTGAAAAACACACCCATCCATCATTTTCTTCCGCTTATCCGTGGTCGGGTCGCGGGGGTAGCAGCCTAAGTAGGGAGGCCCAGACTTCCCTCTCCCCAGCCACTTGGGCCAGCTCTTCCGGGGGAATCCCGAGGCGTTCCCAGGCCAGCCGAGAAACATAGTCCCTCCAGCGTGTCCTGGGTCTTCCCCTGGGCCTCCTTCCGGTGGGACGTGTCCGGAACACCTCACCAGGGAGGCGTCCAGAAGGCATCCTAAACAGATGCCCGAGCCACCTCAACTGGCTCCTCTCGACGTGGAGAAGCAGCGGCTCTACTCCGAGTCCCTCCCGGATGATCGAGCTTCTCACCCTGTCTCTAAGGGAGGGCCCAGACACCCTGCGGAGAAAACTCATTTTGGCCGCTTGTATCCGAGATCTCATTCTTTCGGTCACAACCCAAAGCTCGTGACCATAGATGAGGGTGGGAACGTAGATCGATCGGTAAATTGAGAGCTGAAAAACACACCCTTGAACAATATCCTAGAAAGTAACAATACAAACTTGTTTTAACTGGCCATGAGGTAGTGCTCTGAAATATAAATGAAGTTTACACAACTGTTGATAAAACTACGAAAAAATGGTAAAATCGGTTTCTAACGTCAGAGTCAGAGATTCTTTATTGTCATTTGCACCACATGTACATGTGATGGAGCGAAATTATGTGCACAGGGTCCCAGTTACATCCAACAATAAAATGTAAATGAAAACAGTAATAAGATATAATATGAACCGAGAAAAACATCAACTAAAAATACACTAAGCACTAATAGCATAAAAACATTACGTCGAACAGCAGCACGAACATGAGCATGAGTCTGTGTGAGCAGATCAGCACGCATGAACACATCAACATGAAAAAGATCAGCAGCAACTTGAAACAGATCAGCAGCAACATGATGTGATTTTTTTTTCACAGTGATTATTCTAGTTAGAGATTCATGAGTCTAACAGCCTTAGGGTAGAAGCTGTTCCTCAGTCTAGTGGTTCTACACTTAATGCTCCTTAACCTCCTGCCTGAGGGGAGTATGACAAAAAGTGTGTGTGCTGGGTGAGTGGGGTCCTTCATGATGCAGGTGGCTCTCTTCCTGCATCTGGAGGTGTAGATGTCTGTGATGGTGGGGAGGCTGACTCCAACAGACTTCTGTGCAGCCTTCACCACTCTCTGCAAATATTTCTTTCTGCAGCTGTGCAGCCTCCATGCCACACGTTGATGCTGGAGCACAGGATGCTCTCCACTGCACACCTGTGGAAGGAGGTGAGGACTGAGCTTCCCAGTCCAGCTCATTTCAGCCGCCAGAAGAAGTAGAGTCTCTGATGAGCTTTCTTGATCAGGCTGGAAGTGTTGTTGCCCCAGCTGAGGTTGTCATTCATGTGTACACCCAAGTACTTGTAGCTGGAGACCACTTCCACTGCAGATCTTCTTATGTTCCGGGGGTGGGGGTGGGGGGGGGGGGTATGTATGTTTGTTTCTTCTGAAGTCCACAATCATCTCCTTTGTCTTCTTCACATTGATGTGAAGGTTACTCTCTTTGCACTAGCTCTCCAGGTGTTCCACCTCCTGTCTGTAGCTGGACTCATCATTGTTTGTGATGCATCCCACCACCAAACTTTGCAATATGACAGCCTGGATGGGTAGCTGCACAATCATACGTGAGCAGAGTAAACAGGAGAGGGCTCAACACACATCCCTGAGGAGAGCCAGTGCTGAGGGTTATGGTGGAGGAGGAAAAGTTGTGGATCCTCACTGACTGTGGTCTGTTTGTTAAGAAGTCAAGTACCCAGTAGTAAATGGAGGGGCATAATGTAAGTATCGGCCGATCTCCGAGCTCCCAAAATTAAGGAAATTGGGGCCGATAAATCAGCCAGCACCCCTAATTCAAACATTTGCTAAGTTCATGGGAAAAAACAATGTGGACATGTTTCCATTTTTAGTATCCTACATTGCTTTACCATCCAACGGTTTTTGTTCTGTTAGTGTTTTTTTAATCTGTGACCCTATGTTTTAAATGCTTTTTATTAAGTCTTCAGTTATTATTATTAGTGTATTGTATATATTTTTTTCTCTTTAATTTTACTCATTGATTGTTGTTGTTGTTAAGCACTTTGATAACAGGTTCTGTTTTAAATGTGCTCTATAAATAAAGTTGACTTGACTTGACTTGTTCATTTTCTTTCATTTATTTATCTCAATTTATATGCTTTCTTTTATGATTGTCTATTGTTGTCTTTGTTGTCTACTGTTGTCATCGTTCTTCGTTAAAAACAGGCCTATCTTGTAAATGAGTCCCCGAGGCTACCCTGTATAAATAAAGGTTGAACAAATTTCTATATTCATCACCACAGTAATAGTTTTACACGCGTCAGTAATTGTAACACTCAAATGAATACATATGTTAGTTTAGTGCTTACCTATAATCTAAACAGTTGAGGAATAAACATTTTTAATAATCAGAATCAGAGAGAGTCAGAGTTTATTTATTTGTCATTCGATGGAGGAAATAAGCAGAAGTAAAAGGAAGGATATAGCAAGTCTTGGCTGAAATTATAAAGTAGTTTCCTTGCACTCGGTTGTCTTATCTCAGGGATAAGCTTCTTAGCATAATCTGATAACTATAAAAGATAATAATGGGTTGATTTTCTTCTTTAACATCTTGTTCATTGTTGGCTGTTTGCTTTCTGCCATGTGCACTTTGGTTTACAAACTTGATCTTCCTCACATGTCAGCTCGTTTTATGTGATTGTTTGATCACTCTTGGGGGGGTCTCTGCTGGCTTGGGGGCCCTAAGCAGCCACATGGTATATGCTTATGCCTTGGCCTGGATAAGCAAACTGGTGAGAACATGCTTTTTACATATTTATGTGTGATGAGCTGAATTGAACAGAGGGTGGAGAAAGAGGCAAAAGTATTTGTCCAGGCTTGTCTAATGTCTAATGAATGCCTTTTTTTATAATTTCGCAAGCTTATTAAACAACTCTTTCTCAAAAACTTGACAGAACGCTAAGAGCTAATCCTAAACCTCCACGTTTATGTATGACACCGTAAATGTCTCTCTGACAAACATTTGCGTTAGTATGAACATGTATGCATGCAGAACATTGGCCTGTCTATGCTGATGGTGCTAAGGCTGCTGAATATTTCTGATTGCTGGGAGTTGAGAACACTTTTGACTGGCAGATGTTTTCAGCAGCCTCGGGACCATCAGCATGCACATGGTCTATCTCTGCTCGGCTCATGTCAATTGAGAAAACAGTAAGAAACCAAACAAATAGTGTCTTACAAAAGTCTAATGGCCTGATAAATGCTCAATAATCCAGGTAAAAAAAATCCAACAAGGTTAAGTCAGGTCCTCTGGACGGATTCTTTGTTGAAACTTTTCGTCTTTTATCTAAAAGACTCCTTCAGTCTGAAAAAGTCACCTTCACTTGATGGCAGGAGGAACCCAGACCTAGACCAGTGGTCATTTCGTATGTTGTGGGAGATTCAGAGAAACTGAGACATTTATTTTCTAAACACAACTTCCCAGTGGCTTTTAAACCCCAAAATACATTACGGCAAAAACTGGTTCATCCCAAAGATCCAGTTCCCCGGCACAAACAGAGTAATATTGTGTATGTTGTTCAGTGTCAGGAGGGCTGTGATCAGTCTTACATCGGGGAAACTAAACAGCCACTGGCCAAAAGGATGGCCCAGCACAGAAGATCAACATCATCAGGCCAGGACTCTGCGGTCTACACTCATCTGCAGGTCAGCGGTCACTCTTTCAAGGATGAAGATGTGCACATCCTGGATAGAGAGGAACAATGGTTTGAGAGAGGAGTAAAGGAGGCCATCTTTGTGAAAAGAAACTGTCCATCTTTAAACAGGGTGGGGGTCTCCGCGTCCAACTGTCCCCCTCTTACAATGCTGTGATTGCTAGTATCACTCAACCCTCTGTGAATAGCAAGAGGCCATCAGGGTGCTAATAACAATTGTTGATGCCTTCTTTTGCATGTGAACAACTAGTTCTGGCTGCCTGCAGCAAACTGGTTTGGTCCACTATGAGAAGGTGCTATTTAAAGCCTGAGTTGGTTGGTGTTTCAGACTGAAGAAGTCTTTTGGATAAAAGATGAAACGTTTCAACAAAGAAGAATTAATCCAGATGATCTCACTTAACCTTGTTAGATCTAGAGATTTACATTAATATTAGCTAATGCAGCTCTTTCACACAAATGTGTCATTCTGGAGAAATAATAATAAATAAATATAAACTTTATTGTCATTAAAAATTGTACAGTACACCATGCAAAACTGATAAAAAATTTGTTTCATTTCTCTACAGTAGTAATTTCCATGAATTGTTACAGACTTTGGTTTAGAAATGTGGCTGTGTGTGTGTCCGCTAATTAGTTATTTTATATTCCTTAAAATCTTTTTTTTTTTTTTAAAGAAGATTGGATTTAGATTTTTTTTGTGTGACAAAAGATTTTAAGGAATACATCGCCACTGCCCCCTTAGAGTTTAAGATGAAAATATATATTTTATAAAGTCCCAAAATGTAA